TTTACTTTCTTCCAGTACCACTTGGGCCCATCTGGAACCATATCTTGGGATTCTGGAGACGTAGACATGAACCCAATATTCTTTTCCTCAAGTATGAGGACATGAAGATGGTTAGTGGAACTTAATTTGTGGAATGATTTACCCAATTCCAACCTAAACACCCTTTTCAGCTATCAACAAAAAAAAATTGCTCATCACAATATATATTTTGTTTGTTTGTTTGTTTCTTTGTTTAATTTGCGACACGATAAAGCACCAATTTGAAGCAGGCAAGAATATATTTAATTAATTTTGTTAACTACGAAAGTCGTTTATAAATTAACCTTTTTTTCGCTCAATATAATTTCACCTACTTTCACTTGAACGCACACTGCGAATCATTTGTTTACCTGCGGTTTTCTCATATTTGCTTACAAGTTCAATTTCATCACGTGGTATCTCCATTTCCAGGATCACGAGGGTGCGATCAGAAAAACGGCAGCCTTCCTAGGCAAGACGCTCTCCGAGTCAGAAGTGATCAAACTGGCCGATCATCTAAGTTTCGCTAACATGAAAAAGAATCCTTCAGTCAACCTGGAGCCAATCATGGCCAAGAAGAACGGTTCAGACTTCCTTCAATCTACGGAACTCCGTTTCATACGAAAAGGTGAAGTGGGTGACTGGAAGAATCACATGACTCCAGAGATGGTTGCTCGATTTGACGCCTGGACTGAAGCAAACACCACAGGCACTGGACTGAATTTCAACTGATTTAGTCTACTCCGCCCATTAAATCAATAGAATAATCAAACCTACACCTCACTCAGGGACCATCTCTGTCCCAATGACCATGGCAAGTTGGACAAGTTGATAGCGGAGGAGGTCCACGGCACCAGAACAGTCGAGAAACGCCGAATCAGACGACAAAGACGCACTATTTCCTAATATGATTCTAAAGAAGGGAATCTTCATACTTCCATTCTGACGAAACTCGATGCTGCTTACCAATGGTTTCAAAACAAACCAAATGCAAAATAATTTCGAATTATCCTAAAATTATCAAAAAATACTAAGCTGGTATGCACAACAGTTAGTTCATTTTTAAGCCAAGGCTCATCTAAATAATATTTAAATATTCAGTTCCTACCTGAAAGAAAATACGTATCCAATACATATATATAAAATTATGCTTCTAATTTACACTCGAGTTATATCAGACGTACCGACATTTTTATTCCAGCGTCTAGAAATGATATATTAACCTCTCTTAGACGTAACATCTGGATTATTTAACATTAAAATATAAATTGTTTGTGTGTTGGCATCACCAGTTACATTTGTATACTTGTTAAACATTTAAAATATATAATTAGCCTTTATTACATGAAAATAGGGAATTTACACCTCCAAAGTAAAGGACTATGAACCTAACCTCAATTTCAAGGTCAAGGGCTTAACAGTGTGCCAGAGGAACAAATGGCCAATAGGAATGCACATAAGCTGTAACATGACACTGATAAAGTTTAATTAAAATTGTATTGACATGTTGAAATACATTTTCTTTTCAAAAAACAACTATAATTTCTTATGTTTATAAACTGAACAGGCTGTGAAAATGCAAACTGTATTGAAAGTTACTAAGCAAACAGATCAATATGAAGATTTTGTGTATAAGGTAATGAACTTTGGTGATGTAGTATTCTACCTGGCAGGGGAATCAGAAGGAGAAATCGCTTCCGGCGAGATTTTCCTGTGTCCAGCGGTCAAACTCTCCGATGATCTTTGGACTCATGGCCTCCTTATAGTTACCAACCTGACCACTACGCATGAAATGGCCATCTGCCGGAGTCAGTTTGAACCTGCGGTTGATTTCGATCGCAGCCTCGTAGTTGACGGACGGATTATTCTTCATGCTGGTAAAGCTGAGATGATCGGCAAGTAAGTCCACTTGTTCGGCGTTAAGTTCCTTGCCCAAGAACTCAGCTGTCTTCTTGATCACCGGTGGCAGGTCCTGCAAAGTTGTCCTTAATAATACCTTACATTTTGAACAACAACAAAAATAGCAGTGTAATTTCAATAAACTGAACTAGGGATGTTTCGCGGGATTTTTAAATTGATTTAATTTCTATTGTTTTTCATTTCCTCCACATCTTAAAGCTCAAAATATTATCTGTTATCCAGTATTAAACAAGGGACGTGTACGTGTGGAACCACTTCAAAAGTTTGTTAACTCACCTTCTTAAGATCTTCAAATTTGAGGAACAGAATGTTAGGTTCATCACGACGTTTCCAAAAGTTGAGAACATGAGGCCAGAAAGGTGCAAAACACACTGTTTACATAAAACAAAACAAAAAAGTAACAACTATAATGAATTGTATGCTACTAAAAATTATTGTTTTGCGCACATAACCTCACAAATATGAACTCCATACAGTAAAGTGAATAAGAGATATGTTCATGATAAAAAACATTCGTAACATATTACAAAAAGACGGTCTATACAACAGCAAGGAGGAAAACATGCGTGGTTATTACTCACGGGATCCACCCAGAAAAAGTTTGCAGTAGTCATCGAAACTTCCGGAATAACCTTCCAATATCTTACAGTGGTGGTAGTACGACACGCAAGTGTCTTTAGCGTTTCTAGCCACATAAATAATCTGCAACAAACCAGCTATTAAAACGTGTTGTTCGTCTTTGAAATACTGACTTCTACCTTGAAAAAATTTGACCACACCTCAGTTATTTGCAAATATTCCCTGCCCACACTTTTAACAACCATTATCCCACGTACGAGTACGTTGAAGTACTTAAGCTAGTTAATATTAATAAATTAACATAAATATTAAATATCCATATAGATTCAGTGTATTGTTAAATAGCGTAATTTCTCGATAGCAAAAAAAATATCACTCTTAATTATTCTAAAATATTTAAAAACCAGAATTAACGCATATAATTTGAGAGATATCTCAGTTAATTATTACGAAGAAAATTTATTTTTAACTACGAAAATTTGGTAATGAAAATAAAAGCATTACTTTATATAACGTTTCAAATGAGACTTAAGTAATTTTAATAAAACACTAAACTAATTAAATAATCTGATAATAATACAAGGTTTTTGGATATTAGTAAGTTCTAATGGACTTTTCAAAAAAAAAACTCTTGATTTGCTGATATTTAAAGAAGATTCCACCTTTGGTTTCTTGATCCCATGGCGGATTTGCTTTGGGAGGAGTTCCCAAGGAAGATGAGTCTTGATGAATCGTGGGGACTCCATTTCGTCTATATACGTCAGCGAGTCAGTTATGAACAACGGTAACTCAAGTTCTGGTAATTTGGGAATAATATCAGAGTAGTCAAACAATGGAGTGTGGCTGAAATTAAAAGACTTAATAAATTATAAAATAAATTAATAAGCAGAAAAATAAATTAATTAATATATAATAAAATAAATATATTCATTTTCTGTAACTAGTAATCATTCAACAAGTAGCATTTATTTGTAGTTCTACTTACTCCAAAAAGGGAAATCTCTCTGGCAGGGGCACTTTGGCTCCTTCAAAATCAAGATCTGTCCCAATGACCCAAGCCATTTCCTGTGTCCAAGTTGTACCTGAACAGAAAGTTATCCTGATGAAATCTTCTCACGCAACAAGCCATGGCAATTATGTGCAAAAGCAGAACATTTCTGAGACCATCATCAGATCATCAGGGAAATGATGACGGAGGTGAGTAGTTACCTTAAAATTCTAATAGCATTTATTACCAGAAAACACGTCCTTAGTTGAGAGAGGATTCAGAAGAAAGAAATGTGCAAAAATATTAAAGAAAGGAAGAAAGTGTAAATGATAAAAATACAAAATAAATCATTCTTCAGTTCATTTAATTATTTTCATAATAATGAAATATTATTTGTATTCTGTAATGTGTTCGTTCCGCGCATTTTTTTTTTTTTTGAAAAGTTACGAAACATTAATTTTGGTAACAATTTATGGAGAACAACGGGCAGAAATATCAAATTCTCATTTTGGATGGGATAAATATTTCGCGTGCATTTTAGAACTATTACTGAGGAAAAAATTATGGGCATGTAGAATAAATTTTTGACTTGCAATTTGAATCATAAGATGTGGGGTATGTACTGGGCATTATTTTACATCCAGAATGAAAATACCCCGAGTAAACAGAAACGTGTTCAAAAGGAGGATATATTTGAGGTCAGTGGAATTTCGTTACAAACGCGTTTTAACCGTGTATAAGTTTGGCTGGTTATTAAACTTACCAGTCTTGGGGAAACTGATCACCCATAAGTCATCATCTCGAACCTCAAACTCTTCAATTATTTTTGAGAATTTCTTATAATACTCTGGTA